GTTTTTTATTCCCTGAATAGGAGTAATCTGCCAAGTTTGGAAAAAAATGCCATGTTTAAAGCCTTGTAATTTCCAAACTTGGCAAAAATTTACTCCTATTTAGGGAATAAAAACATGATACTCCTATTTTGGAATTTCAAAACATTTTTACTCCTCTTTAGAGAATTCTCTCTTATAAATTAAGTACGATGACGAACTTCAAAATTTGTAAAATCAAGTTACGTATAAAATAAATAGATAAATATTGAGGGGAGATCTATAATAAAGTCAATTTAAAAATAAAAATAAAAATATTATACACACGGAAATCTATATTTGAAATTGCTTAAGTATATGCTAATATGAGCAAGTACGAGAGCATTTTTATAATCACAATCTCGGATATATATATCAAGTTATAGTTTATATTTTTGTTTAATTATAATGATATTAGTTTGAAATGGAAAATGATAGTTATAATAATCTTAATGATACAGACTTTATATAAATGGATAAAACAAAACGGAACTTGAAACTTTGTTTGGGATTGGATAGGTTGGCATGCCAATAGGGATAGTTAATACGGCCGTAGAATTTAATTGATTAATTCCGGGTCCACAGCCACGGAGTGGACAGTACCCAAATTTTGAAACTCGATCGTTTAGGGTCCGCAGCCACGGAGTGGACAGTACCTAAACGATAGGCCTGACCCATACAACGGACAGTGCCGATATTACTCAGATGGTCCACAGCCACAGAGTGGATAGTACTAGATGAGGAATGTCCCGTTTATTCAGTCCATTAAACTAAGGAGTAAAATTACTGAAAATAAGAAACATATAGAGCCCGTTTGGAGAACTCTGTTTTCGGCTTATCAGGCTTATCAGCCAGCTTTTTCACCAAACACGTAACTTTTACTTTCGCGCGCTGAATTGTGTAATAAGCCGAAAAAGTAAGGTTGGAGTTACTTTTCTGGCTGTATTGGCTGAAGTTACTGTAGAGGACCATTTTAGCTATTTTTACATATAACTTTTTCTTTAATTTATTAATAAAATATATTTTTAAAATATTTTTTTCTTTAATCAGCAGAATCAGCCAAAACAGCCACTCCAACCAGAATATCATAAATTTCAGCAGAATCAGTCAAAACAGCCGATTTTGGTGCTACCAAACGGGCTCATAGATATTTGATTTGGAAATGCAAATTGAGAAAATCTGAATAGTACATTCAAAAGTGAAAAGAATGCTAAAAGCGTAAAGAGTATATTTTAACTTGAGATACGAATAGTTGTTGTTTGTTTTGAACTAATAATGTTCAAATTCGGAATAAAATTGTTAAGCTGCTTTATTGTTAAGCTACATTATCTATGAATAAAATTGTATTTTCAAACTCGGAATTATAAGCTGCTTTGGTATTATATTGTTACAAATTATATTGCTTTAATGTGACGAATTTTTATATGAGAAAGAATGAAAACCACTAAGCAAGATTTGCTTAGCGCGTTGGATTTTTGTCCTTCGCGTAGGTCAATAAGCTTTGCAAGTCGGAATTCAAGTCGAGGAGCATTTGGGGAAGAAGCAGCCAATCACCAAAGAGTCACATTTGCACAAGTAGTAATAACTCATCCCTAGTTTGCATGATAAGTGCTCATTAGCATATTAGTAAATAAACATGGAATGATCAATTTTCATGGATGTACTTGGTTATACCACTACTTGATGTGTAATATATTTATGCTTCCGCAATTTAAGGACCCTGATAAAATATGTTATTATTCTCCTTTAAAATTAACTAAAAATATAAATAATAAAGAAATAGTTAGTTAGCGCTTTGGTGCTCCGGCACTGCGGGTAGCGCTCCCTAGCCTTCCGGGCCGGGTAGGGGTGTTACAGTGATGATAATAATTTAAGGGAATAGAAATTATATATTTAACAAAGGTATTACTTACATATTTTTAATAAGTATTTTTTGGGGAATTGTATGAAACATACCATAGGAGAGAGAACATCCGCAACATCGTCCCTCGGTTAGGTGTAGGGTTTGTGAGATCCGCCGTGTAGAGCGTGTGGTTGGTTTCCCAGTTTTGTTGAGAGCTTCGTCGAGTAGGGCGCGGCTTTGTCCAATGGGTAGGGAGTTGTCCAGCAGGTACACTACTAGAAAAATGGTCTATAGTGACACTAAATTAGTGTCACAGAAAGTTTTTCTGACACTAGAAAAGTGTCAAAGAAGGTGGGGAATTGTGACACTAAATTTAGTGTCACAGATGAAGTGTCACAAATTTCTGACATTTTAGTGTTACAAAATACGATGATACATTTGCAACAAAAAAAATTAAAACACTTATGTGTCATACAAGTGTGTGATACATTTGTATCAAAATATTTCAAAACACAATTGTGTCAAAAAAATTGATGACACCATAGCATCATAAATCTTGATGACTTTTTTATATCATGCAGTTTAGTGACACTGTCATATCATACATTCAGAACTCATATATCCATTCAATTGTACCTCACATTTGCATTCAATCATTAGATATTTCTTTCATAAAACCCATTCAAATAATAATATATTTGAATGTCTAATTCACATTTCAAATGATTACCAAGAATTCATTGCATCCATAAGTCAAAGTAAAAAACAGCCCAACAATGTTCAAAATGGCTGCTCTTACTTAGCTACAAACATTCAAGTTCAAAATACTCGCTTAGTTTAGCTACAGTTATAATACTTCATCATACAACAACACATTAAAAGCCATTCGTAGTTCAAAAACATGTGGCCAAAAGTATGCATGCCAAAAACATATCCTTAACCAAAGAGGACAAAAACATGCCAAAAATATATCCTTCTTCAAAGGGCTCCTTCAAAAAAACATATCCTTCTTCAAAGGGCTCCTTCAAAACAGTCTGTCAGCATCCATTGAACTAGTCACTAATCACTGCAATGAGAAATTTTTTATTAATTAAACATGAATGTAACACACTGACCCATTCTCTCGAGTTTGAATGTAAACAATAATTTGATAGACTGAAATCATGCACATACGCTTTCATCAAAGTTGCTGCATAAGAAACCCATTCTTCACGTACTTCTAAAATATCTTGCTCAGAATACTCTTTAACAGCAGAGAACTACATCATTATATGTAAAATTAGCATTTAATGATAAATAACATAGAAATGTGTAGAGAACTGCTCTAACTCACATTGTTGAGGATAGAGACATCAGTTACCACATCTTTCATGTATTTCATCATGTAATATCCACATTCCACACATCCAACTTGTTTCGGGCACTACAAACAATGAAACACACAAGCAAATATATATATATATATATATATATATATATATATGTATACACACACATATATACACACACATACACACACATATATACACACACGCAAATATAAAAGAACTGTCTCAATACTACTAGAAATATAGTTTTTACCCTCTCAGGTCACTGCACAGAATACAAGAGTAAATAGAGGAGTTTACTACTACTCATCATTACTTGGAATTTATGTTGTTGAGTTGAACTTTACATATTTAATTACCCCATGACACACATTCTCTTGTCTGGTAATCTGAACAAATAATATCCTTCTTCCAATTCAAAAAAAAAAAAATACACACACATATGTGTTCTCCTAAGTTCACCCAAAAAATACACATACATATACACACTTTCACCCAACTATGAAAGTGTACTAATTGCTTTTCAATGTTCCAAGCTATTAAAGTGTCCAGATTACTTTAACATGCCTAATCAACTTCCTACCTGAGCACATAGTAGAGTTGGACAGTCTAAGAACAATAAAATATCAGTAAATAGCTAGCAATCTATTTTCAGTTTTAATTGCAGCATCCACTTTGTTTAAAAGTCAAGAATAAATCAATTATTCTTAAGCCAAAACAAAAAGAGACGAGGTTGCATGACAATTTAAGTTCAATAGAACAAATACAGTACTTGACCATTCAAGATACTTAAACAAGAAAGTTACTCCTTATATCCTTATTTTATCTTCTCATATGATTTGCAAGGTATTTACTAGTTTAATTTAATTAAAGTAGAAAAATTGTGACAATTATACTCACTTAGAAGTTTTCTATTATATGGCTTCCCAGTTTTCAATGAAAGTCTGGTAATCAGAACACCAAATAATATCCTTCTTCCCATTCAAAAAAAAAAATATAATACACACACATATCATTAAGATCATAGCTCTACTGTATGGGCATAAATGAATATTACCTGAACTGTGATCCAATTCACCGTAAGCCTATTACTAGACTTAGATGCTTGATACATTTTCACTCCTCTGAAAAATAGTTAAATACATTAAATACTTGAGAATTCTGACCTGATCTCAACTAGGGAGGGGGGAATGGGGAATGGGGAATGGGGGATGGAGAACTGCCCAATCCAAAACTGAAATCAAAATGGTCTGAGACTAGGCACTTTTTTTAACCTGATTATAAGACTCCAATATAATACTTATTAGACCAATCAGCCGCACATTATAAATCCATGAAACACAGGAGTAATACTCATGCACAAGTTGGAGGGGAAGTATATACTTAACTGGGTCACAATAACCTTCAGATCATCGAGTGGAACATCTCCTATTGAATCCAAGTAATACACCCTGTCCATTTCTGGGTCAATTGCAACTAATACCCAGTGATCACTGCATACACAGAAGGGTAGACAATTAATATCATATAATTCATTTAGAAAGAATTCTATCACTATTACTACTAGAAAGCCATTAAACTTAAATATTACTATTGATTTATTTTTATTTAAAAGGAAAATATTCCTTTTATTCTATTTAATAAAATATTGCTTTTATTCATATACTAAATCTGTAAGTTTGATTATTAATATCATTATAATTAATATTAGCTTTATCATTCTTTGATCATCTGGATTATCTGATTGTGGCTCCCTGACATTCTCATTCGCACTCTATGTCTAAAAAAGAGGCAATTTTGTACAGAAAACGCACCCTGAATTGTACGGGAGTAAAGTGATTTGTCCAAGTAAACCGACACCCAAAAGATCTGATACGTATTGTGACCTCCTTGTGATGGAATCATGAGATGGTCTCTTTGGACGTGGTATAGCAGCTGATGTACCAAACTGGACAGGCATTTCCCCTCCATCCTCCAACATTTTTTCATAAAGGTTCCTGCAAATCGAAAAAAACAGTGAAATTTGTACTAAAAATTCCGAAGGCAGATTCATGTATTTGCTAGACACTTACTTGCACCAAATTTCTATCACAGAGTTTGAGACCTTCTCACATTTGATCACTATGCGGCACATTTCCTTATTGAAAACAGATTTCGTTGGAAACCCAAACACCTCTGCGTCATTCGGTATCATGTACCCATCTCCCAGGCATCGCTCAATCAGGATGGAGAACATCTTCATGTTCAGGCTTTGTCCTTGTTTTTTCTCTGCTATGGACCTTGTTGTTCGTTGCATAGTAAGCTTTCTGACAGGAACAGATTTCTTTTTCATTTGAGGCCTGTTGACTTTCAACACTTCCACACCATCATTCCCCAATTCTTCCTTTACACCTTCGAATGGTGTGTCAGTCTTGTGTAATATGTGTCGCGGGGATCTTCTGGGAAGCCGGGAATTTGTTTCAATCTTCTTAGGAGTGCACCTTTGAAACTTCTTGGTTTTGGTGCATTGTTGCTCTTCATCTGCACCAAAGTGGACTGCCACGGGCTCTTCTAGCCAACCCATGTCGTCATCAACATCAACTTCCTGGGAAAAACAATTCATCAGGTCATACTAACTAACTACTAACTGTAATTGAATGAGTAAAACTTTCAATCATAAATGTGACTGAAATAGTACTAACTGCAAACAACATTTACCTTTGGTGATTTTTCAGAATACACCTCTGGTTTTTTGTCCTTTCTCTCTTTGTCGGGCTTTGGTCCAGTTATTGGCGATGCAACTTCTTTCTCTACAGAGGTGTGTCTAGGAGATTTACTCAGTTGACTATGGATGCGTGTTTTCTTGGGAGTATGAGCTGACTTTTCAACCTCTCCAGCCACCTAAAATAATCATAATATAATTGTCGGAGTTAGTGGAACGAGGTGTAAATTAAAAAATATACACACTACAAAGATAAATATAAACCTTTCGTTTTCCAATTTCACCACTTGGGGACTTCGTTGCGACACTGCAACTACCAATGTCACTACCGGCGTAGGAACTCAACTGTGCTTTCATATCACGAAGTTGTTCTACCATCATCTCATATCTCTTTTCACAAATGCTTTTTTCTTTTTGCCTCTCAGACATGCATGGTTTTGGCATGTCAAAGTACATAGATGGGGTAATGAAGTGCCCCATTCCTTGTACTCGACTACCATTTGGCTTTTTTCCAAGAGCAAGTGTCATAACATCATTCACACCGCTAGCCACAAGGGAACCTTCATCTACTTTAGTTTTCATCTCCTTCTACAAAAATATAATTACAATAATATTTATTACACTTAAAATAATAACATTTATTCCTTAACAGATTATGCTTATCAGATTAGCTATACGTGCATGGTTTCAGTTTCACATTTCACATATTTTATGCCCTTTAAGCACATGAAGGTAGCAAATGATATTGAAAATTATGTTCAAGCATCTTTCTCTAAGTGAGAAGCAAGGAATAAATGCATTAAAATGCATTTAGCATTTAGCACATGAGAAGCATTCAATAAATGCAAGGTACTTCAGAAAGCTTTTTAGCATGTAGTTGTACATTTCTTGTTTGTTTGTTATTCACCAGATGGAAGTTAGTGATTACGATACATTTGCATCAAAAAGAGTAGAAAGGTAATTAGTCTCAAAAGCAAACTGACCTAACACGTAACGTACTAAATGCCAAAATTTAACAAGATACTAAGTATCGAGAATTCTATCTAAATGGATCTCTGCTGAAACTGATGCACTACGAAATTTCATAGACCACCCAAAAAAGAAACATTTTGCCTTTATGTGACAAGAAATCTTAATATCCTGATAGAGTAAGGTTAAATCATTGAAGCAATCTTAATATCCCGAAGACAAGAAACGTTTTGCCTTTATGAAGACAACCCACATTCAGGTAAGGTTAAATCATTGAAGCAATCTTAATATCCTGATAGAGTAAAATCTCAAACTCTTTTATTTGACAAGAAAATATCAATCTATCCATAAAGAACCATGGCAGAGTAAATAATTAGGCATTCGCAAGAACCCGTACACATCATCCCAGATTCACAGCTCAATAGACATGTCAATCAAGCTTTATAAATTTACAAATTGATCAATCAAGCCCACTTATGGTAGGATCCTATAAAACTCACATTTAATTGCACAAGAGCAGTTTATAAATTTTGTTGAAAACTCTTATATGCTAACTACATCCCAGATTACGGTTACAAATTGTATACACTTATAAATGTGAAAAGCTTATATTTACTTTCACTAGCTTTAAAATAAACCCGATTTAAAATGTGAGTTATATAGACTTACTATTTTTTCTACAATAGCTTTCACTTCATCATCAAATTCTCCATCTTTGCCCTGATGGCCCCATACCCATGTATCCGCTCGATCAATGTCCACAACATTAGCTCCAAGCTCCTTTTCCTATCATTTACAAACATAAATACTTTTTTTTGGAAGAAACAAACATAAATACTTTAACAATTAAAAGTGTAGAAGACAGACTTAAGCAAAGATATATAATTGCTTAACATATTTAATGTATTTTTAATTATGCAATCATTATGCATATTCAAATTAAATTAACCTTCTTCTTGAGTAAGCCTGCATAACCAGTAGAACCCAAACGATGGTTATACTTGTTCTTTTTCCTCATATCTTTTCCTCTTTGACTCTTTACCTACAAAGATTGGAGTAAGATTATGCTAGGGAAGTATCTACAAATGAACAAATACAATATTACATTGTAATACATATATGCTACTAATACTTACTTGAAACTCTTCTGTGAAAGTCTTCTTCACAAAGACTCTCCACTCATCAGTGCGAATATGCTTATACCGTTCAGGAGGGTATCTTAGCTTTGTCAAATCATCCATGTGCTGTAAGATGAAATCATTCCGTAACTCAAACCGGAATTGTCTCAAAGCAACACTCATGGTGGCAAAAACTTGCTTCTTAGACCTTGAAGTTAGCACAAACAGTTCCTGGAAGAATAAATATTAACACAATCAGTAAAAGTGGATATACAAAATAAAAAACAATCACAAAATTCCATTCTAATACAATTTGATTATTGCACACCAGAAGATATTTCCACAACTCATCTTTGACTTTATCAGGTACATGTCGCCAGTCGTCATAGATAATCGAAACATAATCCTTTACCAAGACGCCACAGTAGTTAGTCAGGTTTGTCCAGCCATCACCGCAATGAACCCCAAATGCATTCACCTCCACCGTGATTCTGTCATCACTAGCTTTCTGCAGCAACATTTTTTTCTTCGTTTTCTGTCTCCTCTTTGGCCTCATTATACACTCCTTAGGGAAGTCCTCAACATCATCATCGAACTCATCAGTATATTCTGGAACACTCGACATGGCTCACTGTAACAAGGAAAAGTAGCTCTATTCAAACAGTAACATAATGTATACAAGACAAGAACAACCTTAATTAAGAGAGGAATGTAAAACAATTACTTACAAAGAATAAAAGAATAAAAGAATAAAAGAATGGAGTCGATTTCAGATCAATTAAGTGTAGGAATCGCATCCACGTCGACTCTAGTATAAATCTGATCATCATCCAGATTATCCAAATCAATAACAGGCAGTGGATATTTTAATGTTAGTGGTTCATGTATAACAATTTCAGCAGATCCGAAATCTAAGTTGTTACTTGCTCTCTGACCAACTGAACATACAATTGATTTTTTAGGGTCAAGTTGATCTTTTACATAGAAGACTTGTTTAGCATGAGAAGCCAAAATAAAACAGTCATTTCTATGACCAATTTTATTCAGATCGACTACCGTGAAGCCCAATTTATCTTTCTTTATATGTCTACTATCAACCCAATCACACTTGAATACCACCCTCTTGGTCATGAGATAGTTCAAAACCCAAATTTCATCTAGAACGCCATAGAAGCTGCTGTCTTTAGAACTTGAGACTTCAATTGTGTCTGCTACAAGGGTAACACCACTGTTTTGGGTAACACGAATTGAGTCTTTGTCCTTCGTGGCAAAATTGTAGCCATTGACAATATACCCGGCATATAACGTCACACTTGTGTTTGGTTTTTTAGCTAAACACCTCACTGTTTCGTCTACAATAACACCCTTGGCAACTTCACCTCTCACCTAGAACAACACATTAGTAGTTATTAATATGTAATTATGAGAATCAATAGTTTTAATGCACGATATTAGTTAAATTTAATTTAGTTAGAACTACCTTGTCTTCAAACCACTCAGTAAATGTACGATAATGTTCTGTTTCACAACAGCCAACAAACTTCGATTGTAGGTGCAACATATGCTCCCTAACATTTAATTCAGACAATTTATTAAAAATTCCACTATTAAAAAGCATGGGTGGTATTCAAAATGTCTAACTTTAGACTTACTGTATGTAGGGCTGAACTTGTGGGGTATTAAATAAAACAGTGCGATGAGCTTGCTCCAACAATGACAAATCAGCCACCTTGATATCTCCCCTTCCCACAGGCCTTTGAATTGAAACACCATCATCATCATCATCATCGTCATTATTAGGTAATCCAATAGCTTTATGATTTGACAGGTATTCGGCACAAAAGTCAAGTGCTTCCTCTGCGGCATAAGATTCGGCTATGCATCCTTCAGGATGATAATGATTACGAACATATCCTTTCAACACTTTCATGCTTCTCTCAAAAGGATACATCCAACACAAGTAAGGCGGCCCACATAAACGTATTTGAGCAATGAGATGGACTGTCAAGTGAAGCATTATATCAAAAAAAGATGGTAAGAAGTATTGCTCAAGCCAGCACAATGTGACCCGATAGTCAGCCTCGAGTTTATCGAGTGAATCAAGATCCAAAACCTTTTCACAGATTGCATTGAAGAATAAACAAACACCTGTAATAGCATTCGTAACATTATCTGACACAGACAAATTTCGAATGGCCAGCGGAAGTATTTGTTGCATCAGTGTGTGGCAATCGTGAGACTTCAGACCTTGAAGCCGATTATCATCATCAGAAACAATGCTTTTAAGGTTGGAGGAATATCCATCAGGCACCTTTGTTTCAAGTATAGTTTGGCAAAATTTTCTTTTATCTTCTTTGGACAAAGTGTACGGTGCTGGTGGTATTGAACTACCATCAGGGACTAGCTTTTTCCTTATCTTGAGGTGAAGGAGATCATTTCTAGCTTTTGGACCGTCTTTGGTCTTTGTCGGTTGATCAAGTAGTGTGCCGTACATGTTCTCGCACACATTCTTCTCGATGTGCATCACATCTATGAGATGGCGGATTAACAAATGCTGCCAATACTCCAAATCAAAGAATATTGATTTACGCTTGAAGAGCGTATTTTGGTTCACATTCTTTTTAGCTCTTTTTCGTTTGCGTTGCATTCCTCCACCTTTCCCGGGCTTATAGGCTACTCTCTCAACCACTTTGAGAATATCTTGACCGGAAGTAGTTTCAGGGGGTCCCCTTCGCTCTACTTTATTGTTGAAAACCTTCTTCATATCTCTAAATTTATGGTCATCCGGTAAGAAACGACGATGCCCCATGTAGGAACATTTCCTACTACATGGTAACCACACGGCAGAAGTGTTTGAGCCACAAATGGGACACGCAAAATAACCTTTGACTGTACAACCAGACAAATTACCGTATGCCGGGAAGTCACTAATAGTCCACATAAGTATAGCCCTCATTTTGAATGACTCTTTCCTAAAACCATCAAAAACGTCTACACCCTCATTCCAAAGAATTTTTAGATCATCAATCAAGGGCTCTAGGTAAACGTCTAGATCATTTCCAGGTTGTTTAGGACCCGATATCAATAGAGACAGCATCATGAATTTTCTTTTCATGGTCAACCAAGGAGGAAGATTATAGATGGCTAACTGAACAGGCCAACAACTATATGAGGAACTAAGCGAACTATGTGGATTGACTCCATCACTTGAGAGAGCCAATCTCAGATTCCTGGGCTCATCACCGAAGTCTGGCCACAATTTATTGATATGATTCCAAGCTGCACCATCAGAAGGATGGCGCAGCTTTCCGTCTTTGACCCGATGATTTGCATGCCATGTCAAGTCTTCTGCAGTTTTAGGCGATTGAAACATACGCTTGAACCGAGGAATAGGAGGAAAGTACCATAACACTTTCTCAGGAATTTTATGGGAAAGAGTTATTGCTCCATTCTTCTTAACCTTAAACCTAGACTCTCCACATGTCGGACACTTCTCAAGGTCACTATAATTTTTATGATAAAGGATGCAATCATTACGACACGCATGAATTTTTTGATAATCTAGCCCTAAGACTTTCATTATCTTCTTAGCCTCATACATTGACTTGGGGATTGAGTTGTGAGGAGGTAATATCATTGAAAGAGCTTCTAATAAAGCGGTAAACCCTTGATCAGACCACCCATATTTCCCTTTAATATTAAATAACAACATTACGCCAGACAACTTAGAATAATTAGAACCAGGGTACAAGGGTTTCTCAGAATCTTCAACCACATCCCTAAAACTTTTTGGATTGCTACCAAAGTCTTCAAACACGTTGTCTAACATATCCTCGATGTTGGTCTCATCATGAAATGTTGAACATGATTTCCTAGAACTTGGATTATTTCCAGACTCGCCATGCCTATTCCAAACAACATATGTTTCAAGAAAACCAACTTTAAACAAATGAACTTTGGCTACTTCAGGACTCTGAAAGTCTATGTTGCAACATGTTTTGCAAGGACACCTAATTGACCTGCGGTTTTCAGAGTTAAGAATGGCAAGGTGTATGAATTCATCGACCCCATTTCGGTATTCTAAAGACACTCTATTACCATTCTTTATCCAAGACCTGTCCATCTCACTAATTCTACCTGCTATGTCAATAAAATATATATTAATAGTTAAAAAACCTCTTTATATTAACTGTCAATAATGAAAATAAACTTGAGGATAGAAAGAAAATTTGAAAATAAACCTCCTTGAAGAGCAGCAAGTGAGAATGAAAATAGAACCTAGTGAAGGAAATATTCTCACCCTCTGTTGTAAGAATTTTTCACTTTTTCGTGCATTTCGGACCCATAAACCTTCTATTTAGCCATTCATTAAATTAATACTCAGGAATAAACTAAACCACGTCTCGGTACTTATCTCAGGAATGGTGACATCAATGATTGCTACAAGTAGTGTTCTGTGTTCATTATGCAGTAGTTATATTGGTAGCAAAAAAATAGAACCAAGTGAAGATTTATTATCCCAATTTTATTGAAATATACATTTTATAGGGCAGCAAGTGAGAAAGAAAATAACCAATTATAATGTTATTAGAAAGGTTCAGATTTGCATACATGATTAGTTGAACTTCCAAAAAAACATTAAGGAAGTAAGGTTTAACTATCATTTTCTTACTTTGCTGAAATGTGAAATCTAATTTTACAGTGTCAACAAAATTGATTTTTGTAAAAATAAGTAGCTGAAAACTGAAAAAAAAGAAGCTGAAAACTGAAAAAAAAAACTGAAAACTTTCCAAATAGAACCTTGAAAACATATTCATGTGGAAAGAATTAATTCATGTTCATTTACAAATATTTATTACTAGCTTTTTATATTCTTTTGAAGATGTGTTTTCTTATTCTTTCTTTTCAATTAACATGTCCTTTTGTTTTCTGCACTCTTGAAAATAACACACTTGTATACTATCATTGAAAAGAAATAGATATGATCAACCATGTTATATTTCAAATTGTGTAATATTTCAAGGAATGCATATTGTGTAGAGAGCTTCTTCAGAGGAAAAAAACAAGGAATGCATATTTCAGAACGTGTTATTACTAAATGCATATTTTAGAAGCATTCAGATAAAACAAAAAAATGATTCAAAGCAGACCCTGGCAAATTGGTGCATCTGTACTGTAGAGGACATACGAAACAGTAGAAATGAAGAACAAGAACATTACCGGAAAATTAATATAAACTACAAATTCTCAATTTCGACAGAATATTAACAAGACAATAGTGAAATAGTAGAAAATGAGTACATTCAAGTAAAAAAACTCAAAGAAACACACATATGGTTGCTTAATACCTTCTTCCCGAGATGAATCTCTCTGGTTTAGCGAGGACAATTCAGGCAAAATCTGGATAGTACCCTACATGTGAAACAGTTGAAATTAAAAACAT